GAGGGGCAGGGGGAGACAGAATCCCAAGCAGTCCCCACGTGGTCAGCACAAAGCCCAACATGGCGCTCGAACTGACGAATCACGAGATCATGACCTGAGCCGAAGTCGGACGCTTAGCCAACTGAGCCACCCAGGGCGCCCTCAGTGCAGCCTATTTGAAGTAACGCAGTCTGGTCCTTGTTAGCAGGGATGCCTGCGGTGGTCACCTTCAGACACTTTTGTGACCCACAACACTAGTTCGTCCACCTCACCGGTGGGGACGGCATCTGGGGGTGGTCTGTGCGGAAAGTAATGGAAACGAACAGCTTGATTTCAGATTGTCTCGTTGGAGAACAAGGCCTTCATCACCGGCAACCGCGAGTGACCCAGATGGACCACCTGGAGGTTTTCGTGGGTTAGGACCTCAGACAAGTGTCCTAAGTTTGCAGGGTTCCCGGTCAGAGTCCTGTTCCTGGAGCTTGCACCTGCTTTCAGAGCAGCCCAGCGTGCAGTGAGGCTGAAACAGCCATCGCGGACACCGCGGGCCGTTAGCTTGCAGTCAAGTTCAGGCGGTTTGCAATTCCCCAAATCACCAGGGGCCTCTTTTAGAAGCAGCAGAGCTGAGATGCTGCAGGGTCAGAACTGTGTGTTCCAAGCTGCACGTGCGGTCCCTGCTCTCATCGGAGTCCACGTGACGCACTGCCGGACCGTCATCTGCGTCTAGCGGCCATCAGAAATGGGTTTTGGTGGGGCGCCTCGGTGGTGGTTCAGTCAGTTGAGCATTTGACTTCAGTTCATGTCATGATCTTGCAGTTTGTGGGTTCGAGCCCCGCGTCGGGGTCTGTGCTGACAGCTCAAAGCCTGGAGCTGCTTTGGATTCTGTATCCCTCTCTGCCCCTCCCCTGCTCACGCCCTGTCTCTCACCCTCTCAAAAATAACAAACTTTTTTAAAAAAAAGAAAGAAAAAGAAGTAGGTTTTTGTAAGAGCTCTTTGGTAAGCTGAAAAATTGTACTTAAAATTCCCAAAGCATCTCTCCATTTAGAGATTGCCTGCTTCACTGTTTCCCTCTGGTTGTGAACCTCCGGTAGGTAAAAACTCAGTAAAAAACCTAAACTTGTTCTACCACTTAGGAGTTTAAATTCCACCCCAGGCACCAGTGGCAACAAGCAAGGGGGTCGTGTCCTGTTCACACTGTTTCCCTGCACTGATTGGGATGATTCCTTTAGCATTTATTACATTACAGGCATGTGGGTCCATTTTTATCTTCCTTGCAGATGCAGTAGCCACAAAACAAAACCAATTTGAGTAAAAAACCCACAAAACAACCTTTTCCCTTTTTCCTCATCACAAACTTATTTGAAGCCGTTTGAGTTCTGTAGTGTTGCCGTAACAAGTGACCATAAACTGGGTGGCTTCAGAACTCACTCTCAGATTCTGGAGGCTGGAAGCCCAAGATCAAGATGGCGGAGGGTTGTGCTTCTGTGTCATCCTGGTGTCTTACGGCCTCGGGCAGCCCCGGGTGTTCTTTTGTTGGTGACAGCATAATTCCAATCTCTGCACCCCATCTTCATGTGGCTGCCGTCCCTGCGTGTCCTTGACTTTGCATTGGCATTCCCCCTTCAGGATGCCACCAGCCAGATTGGATTCGGGCCCATCCTACCGACCTTGTCTTAACTGGGTTACATTTGCAAAGATCTTATTTCCAGGGAAGGTCACATTCATAGATACCAAGGGTTAGGATTTCAGCGTACCTTTTTGGGAGACAGCGTAACCCACGATGAGGCCCTTGTAGTGAGTCCAGCATTTACTGGGTAACACTACAGCTGCCAGGGATGATCCCGGCTGCCATGTGAGGGGTGGGCCGGGAGGCTGCGGCAGCCCAGCAACAACCAGGCAGAAGGATGGGGAGAGGATCCCTGCCCCTGTTCCCTTGGTTTATCTGAAGTTCTGCTCCAGTCCTGGAAACTGATTTAACTAATTTTTTTCTCCCAGCGGAATGCAAACTTTTCATATATTTTGCCCATCCATAGTTTACCCTTGGGAACCTGGGGGCCCTTTCTCCTCCTGCCTGGAAGAGAGAACAAAAATCCGAGACCTCACCAAAGCTGTGTTTTGTTTAAGTCTTCTCGCTCAGATAGCACGGCCCAAAGCAGAAGTATACCGAGTGCGCCAGCCCCCCTTGGGGATGGACCTCTGTCATCTTTACCTCTGTCAACTCTTGGTTCATGACAGACTGCAGCTCAGCGGTCTCTCCACACCTTCTCTCCATACACATGGCTTCTGCTATGTTTCAGTGAGTCAGGGGGTGTTCTAGCAGATTCCACTTCTGATGCCAACTGTGTCCGGTGTCCCCCAAGACCATCCTTGTGTCCTGTGAGTAGGACCCTCGTGACTTAGCATATAGTTTTACTCATGACTGTGATCTGTTACAACAAACAGAGACACAGCAGAGTTAGCACAGGGAACAGGCACATGGGGAAAAGTGTTCTTTCCCAGTGGAGTCACACGGAGTGCGCCCAGCAGTGAGTCTTGACGACGCGGGAGGTACTGTCACGCAGGGAGTCTTGGTAGAGACCCAGCGCCCGGCATTTTGACTCCAGACTCCCAGAAGGAAGGCAGGTGTTGCATATTAACGTGTCACGTGCACAGCAGTTTAGACACCGTGGGTGAGATCAGTCAGGCTGGTGTGAAACCTGAAACCCAGGTTCCCAGACACCAGCCTTGCCAGGAGTTGTGTCTACGAATAAAGTTAAGGCCCCTGATGGCACGTTTCGTACACACTAGGAGTGGGGATTCACTGGAAGAAGCACTACAGATAACTAAGAACAGTGCAGCTGACTCAGGGACCAGTTGCTCCCTGTGTGCGTCACGGGGATTTTCCCATTCAGCTGCTACCCTGTTGAACAGGTAAATTCTGGCAGCAGAACTGCCGACTGAGAGTATTTTCTCCTGCTCATAGATGTCAGTGGGCCGATGAACTTTTTAAAAGACCAGGGTTCAAGGGAGGCATGCAGCTCAGTGGGTCCTGTGCTCTCAGGGGTTGGCCTGACATGCTCACGTGCCCAGCAGGGGAGGGACAGGGGGAGGAGAGAAATTGAGAGCATGGCCTCTGGGATGATGTATGGAGGGGGGGAGCTTTTACCTGCAACTTGATATGTGGGAGGGTTTCCTTTGTAGGAAGGCACTGCCCAACCCGATCTGTTTTTATCATCAAGGGCAAATTCACTGATGGGTGTTTTTGACGTCAGTTAACCCCCTGGTGGGATGGGACTGAACCTTATCTTCAGTACTCTTCTACGTTTCTGGTGGAAAGAGCTGCTTGTCACCAGATAACATTTGTCTGGTGGGGGTCCGGCGGGCAGTCGCACTGAGACTCGGGAGTGTGGGGAACGAATGGATGCAGGTCTGAGTTCTCATGCCTGTTTCCTCTTCCCTGAGCTCTGACCTCTCAACAACTTTCTATCCTATTCCTGTATGACACAAATACATAAACAGTACTTCCTCAAGAGAATTTTGTCATTTAGCCAGTAGGACCTGTCTACTTAGGGCCTGGAGTTAAGATGTTGTGGTCAGTTGGCCCCTGCTGCAAGATGGATTCCACCAAGTCTCTCAGGAAGGAAAAGTCCCCAATCCTAGAGTGTGTTCTTATTTCATAAAACCTCACCCACGTTTGACCTGGGGCTTGACATGGTGCGCAACAGGGAAGGAGCGAAAGTAGTTTGTATCACAAAGGACCGGTGGGTCTTAAAATGCAAATATTTGATTCATTTGGAGAGCTGTTCTGTGAATTCTCCATTGTGGTCCGAACCCTTTGGTTAAAGGAGAATGAGATTTGATGTGGTTGCAGTAAGAGTGTAAAGATAAGTTCAGTAGGGTGAGTGGTACTGTTAAACTTGTGAGGAGGATGTAAGTGTGGACAGAGTGAGAGATCTGATGATCGAGTCATAGAGTGGACGCTGGGTGACCACAGGGTCTTGTCTGAATGTCCCGTGAATTGAATTGACTTGCTCTAGAGTCTCAACTTTCCTTCTGCACATATGTTGGGTGTTTTAGGACTCAGTGGTCTTTGAGGATGTGGCTGTGGACTTTACCCTGGAGGAGTGGGCTTTGCTGGATTCTGCTCAGAGGAAGCTCTACAGAGATGTGATGCTGGAAAACTTGAAAAACCTGGCCGCAGTGGGTAAGAATGACCTCATTCCTTCACGTGGTTGTTTGGAGAACAAGCATTTCTTACACATCAAGCCTGTTTCAAGATTTTAAATGTGGAAAGGGAATGCTTATTAATTAGTAAGCCAGGGTCACAACCGTCAGAGAGCTAGAATCTTATAATGTCTGCATGAGAATGAGAATCTTTGTATTAAACTGATTTTTTTTTCTTTCTATAAAGCAAGCTCCCTTTGTGTCATCAGAAAATACCGATTTCATGGGTCATTAAGGAGCCCAATGAAGTTTATGTAATCGTATGAGAATTCAACTGCCTTCGTTCAATTGCTTACCGTTTTGAGTCCTCGTACTTGTATCGGTGAAGTCCCGATACAGCTAAAGTGCTTGTGTCATTTCAACTAACAGGTACCTTCTTCCTTTAAAACTTTTGTTCCCTTTTTGCTTTCAGATGATGAGACTCAATTGAAGGCCAATGGGTCTGTTTCTCAGCAGGATGCTTATGGGAATAAAATATCCAAGGGAAACAAATTGGCAAAGTTCACCAGAAATGAATCCTGGGCCTCTGTTTTAGGGAAAATTTGGGAAGAACTCAGCACGGAAGATCAGCCCACAAACCAGGGGAGACATCTGAGGTGAGCTGCACTCACAAGAGAAAGCAGTATTCCAGGAGAGAATCCTAGTATGTCATGAAATTTAAAAAGCAAAGAAAACAAGTCACCCACAGGAGCCTAGATCAAATTTGTTTACTCA